AATCTTTTACTTTTTGTTCATTGTATACATACCTTCCCCAACATAATCATCCCTCCCATAAATGAATAGGCTATATCCACACTGTTTTTCCAAGACTTCAGGCAAGATTTTAAACACGAAAATATCTGAGTTGGAGGCAGATTCTTTCTCAACGGTCTTTGGATACAATATATATGCATCGTAGATCTTTCCATCGGAAGCTAAAGGGAAAATATAGCATCTTTAGACCCAAAGGAAATAGAGAAGATGAAGTCAGTTCCACAAGCCTGCGTTTCACATTTAAATGTTGATTGCTGAACCATATTATGAGCGAAGCCATAATACTAAAGGCACGATGGTAAGTTAACAAGCATTGCTACCAGGCTCCCAGTTCATGCATGCAATGGTATCTTCCAAACAACAAGACACAATGTTTAATCTATCTCCGTAATCAATGGGCGGCTGCAGCTGAGTTCTTTCCATTATAATGTAGTTGTATTAGTTCCTAATGGTGCCTGGGGATGGGGGAGGGAGGGAGGGAGTGTGGCAGGGTGGCGGGGGCCACTCAAAAGAGTGGCCTCAGAGGGCATCTGCTAGGCCAGTTAAATTCAAGGACGAGAAATCAGCCTGAAGCGTAACCCTGATAGATTTTCTCAAAGGACAAAGGAGGATCGCATGAGGCCTATTATGAAGAAGGTTCTTTTTAAAATTAAAAGCTGCTTTGAAGAGAAAGAGGTCAAGAATATGGCATCAAGGAATGTCCTTCTCTTTCACAAGTTCTAGGAGGATGTCAAGACAGCACGAAGAACCCCCGGGAGGGACTAGAAACCCCATCTTCAGAAGTGGATAGACCTAGATGTAGGATATGCAGAAAGACAATAGCTTCCTATTTTTATGTTTTTGTTTAATAATGGCTTTGATGATTTTGTGGCAACACTTATTTTTGGTAAAACTTATCTCATACGATAAAATAAAACAAACTCACTGCCGTTGTGTTGGTGTCGACTCAGTGACCCTACAGAACAGGGCAGAACTGCCTTCTTTGAGTTTCTGAGACTGTAACAGTCTACAGGAGGAAACCAAGGTGTGGCGGGTGGTTTTGAACTGCTGACCACAGTCCAAGTAGTAACCACTATTCAACCAGCACTCCTCCTCTCATATGATGCCTTGTTAAAATATTCATTTCTTACAAGATTTTTGCTTATTGTATTTTACTAAAAAGTTGTTCTTATCTGGTATTCGATTGTATGTCGTTAGCTCTCCATGTGCTACCTCTCAGTTAGTGTCTCTTTCCCCAAAAGACTCAACCCCAAATTCTCTTTCCTCATTTTCTTAACCACTCTGTTATATCTAGATATCCATTCTGTTATATAAATCGTTCTTTCCATACCTAAATCCCACAACATTCTCTTGCCCAGCACTCTATGTCTCCTAATGGTCTGTTAGCGTCCCTTATTTAAAATCTAAGGAGTTTTCTTTCAAAATTCATCCACAAGAGGTGAAATTTTCAATTAGGATGAAGAATATTCTTTTCCTTTTCTATTTCATTGTGATGTTATGATGATTTTTTTTGCAAGGTTTTAAAAACTGTTACTAGGCTATTGTGGGAAAATGCTTTAGGAATCATTTATTTCTACAAAAAAAGTAGATCATACTAATTATGAAATGATACTTATGTATGACAATGCATGCCAATGTGCTCTACTGTCCTGATATGCAAAGTTGTGATTCTAGAAGTTAAGTCACCAGTCTTTCAAATACTCGATAGGTCACCCAAGGGTGAATCAATTTCAGGGGTGTTTCCAGACTGAAAAAAGAAGGACTAGGCTGCCCACATGTAAGTGATTAAAAACCTTATGAGTAGCAGTAGATTGGCAGATGTAGTGCCAGACGAGGAGCCCTTCAGGTTCAAATGCACACACCTGCTTAAGTTGAGTCCATCATAATGAGATGGGTGGAGTAAAGGCTTCAGGACCATCATTTCTGATGGGGTTTGACTCAAAATGAGAGAAAGCAGCTACAAAGGTCCATTAATGATAGGAATGTGGAATCTATGAAGTATGTATCTAGGAAAATTAGAAGTCACCAAAAATGAAATGGAAGATCAAGATCCCAGGCATGAGTGAGCTGAAACGGACATGGCAAATTTGAGAACAAGAGCTCCTTTAGAAGAAGGACCAATCATTGGAAATATGAACTTGGTAACCAAAGCAAAGGTAGAAATAGCATGACAGAGTTTTGCAACACCAAAACTTCTTTACTGCAAATAAGTTCTTTCAAAAACACATATGGTGACTGTACACATGGACTTCACACATGGGATAAGCAAGAATGAACCTGACTGCACCTGTGGGAACAGGAGATGGAGATGCTCAATATCATCAGCCCAAACAAGACAAAAGGCTGACTGTGAAACACACCATCTGCCGCTCACATGTAAGGAGCTCTGATGTTGTCATGTGTTATGCATTAGACTACTACCTTCAAGGTCAACAGATCAAACCCACCAGTAGCTCCATGGGAGAAAGATGAGGCTTTCTGCTCCCATACAAATGTACGGCTCCAGCAGCACATGGGAGCAGTTCTGCTTGATCCTATAGAGTCACCAAGAGTCAGGACTAACTCTATAGCAATGAATTTGGTTTTGAGATTAGAAGTTGAAGTAAAACAATATGAGAATGAGTCCACAAAAGTACATAATATGACCTTGATGTGTCCTAGTTATGTATTAGGTGTTCACAACAAAGCCAGCAGTTTTCAACCACTGGCTGCTCCATGGAAGGCCGATGGGGCCCTATGCTCCTGTAAAGACTTATGGTCTTGGAAACCCAGAGGGGCAATCCTACTCAGTGAGTGAGTGTATCCCACCTGAGTTGGAAAGGGGGAACCGATTACAAGGATCTACATGTGACCTCCTTCCTGGGGGATGGACAACAGTAAAGTGGATGAAGGAAGACGTCGGACAGGACAAGAGATGACAAAGTAGTAATTTATAAATTATCAAGGGTTTATGAGGAAAGACGGAGCAGGGAGGGAGGGAAAAAATGAGGATCTGATGCCAGGGGCTTAAGTGGAGAGCAAATGTTTTGAGAATGATGAGGGCAATGAATGTACAAATGTGCTTTACACAATGGATGTATGTATGGATTGTGATAAGAGTTGTATGAGCCCCTAATAACACGATTAAAAAACGAGAGCGAGACACACCTCATATACAAATACTATATAGAATAAAATTTTTTTAAAAAAGATATCATTGTTTTTGTCAAATGGATTTGGGCTTATGGTAGAGAATACCAGAAAGACGTTTATTTGTGCTTCTAACTATGCAAAAGCACGTAACTGCGCAGGTCACAACGATTCCCAGACAACATTGAGAAGAGCGGGAATAAAGGACACTTCACTGTGTTCGCTGTACACGGACCAAGAAGGAGTTGCTGGAAAGAGCAAAGAAACGCTGGGCGGTGTAAAATCAGGAAACAAGAGCATCGGGCTAGCTCCTCTCCTTATGCTTATTCAATTTGAATGCTGAGCAAATCATAAAAAAACTGAACTACATAAGGAATAATGAGGCGTCAGAATGGGAAGAACACTTACTAACAATCTGCAAAATTTAGACAACAAACCTTGTTTGCTGAAATCACTTTCAGGACTTGAAGCACTTACTACAGACTTCAGTACGGATTTCAACACAATGTTAAGAAAACAAAAATCTTCACAACTGGACCAATAGACAGGATCATGAGAAATGGAGAAAGTATGAAGTTGTCACAGATTTCATCAGGGTTGGGTCCCCAATCACTAATCAAGAAATCAAATGGCATTACTGCATTCAGCAAATCTGCAGCACAAGACCTCTTTTAAAGTGTGGAGAAGTGAAGAAATCGCGTTGAGGACTAAAGTGCCCCTGTGCCAAGCTAGCGTAGTTTCAATTCCCTCATACACAGGTAAAAGTTGGACAATGAATAAGGAAACTGTATAAGAATCAATGCATTTGAATTATGGTGTTGGCGAAGCATATTGAAAGTAGCTTGGGCTACTCCCTCAACACAAGAATACTTTCTTCTAGTAAATTGGCATTCTATGATGCTCACCTTCCCGACACAACCGCTGA